TATGAGAAATGGAAACAAAGTCTTTGTAAATAGGAAAGGGTGGAGCGGGTGAAGGACGGGCAAGTGAATGGGAAATAATAAGAACCAAGATACATCATGTAAAGGTACAAGATTCCAATGATGCATGTAACTGTATTGTATACCTAAAATGTACCAATAAACTTAATGGAAAAAAAATCAGTGTATTTAAATCAGACCGTTAGCAATAAGAGTTAAGAAAAAAATCTATGCAACTTATTCAAGAAACCTAAGATGTGCTTTTGCTAAGGACAAAAAGAACAATTAGTCTTAGAATAATTATTCAGTAGTTTACAAGCATAAGAAAAAGGAAAGTGAAGGGAAAAAAATCTGAATTGATATGGAAAGTTACAAAGGGTCTGTATCTGGGGGAAGGGAGAAGAGAGAGAGAGAGAAACAGACAAAAAGAAAATGTGATTTTGTGTAGTCATATTGGCTAAGATTAAATGTATTTATTACAAGGTTTTTAAATGAATTTTACTATTAATAATGTATTGATGAAAATTAGACTTTGGTTTTTTTCTCTCTTAAAAGAACAAAGTTACTTGGATTATTTTACTTCTGTTTAGAGATTGTAAGATTTTTCTTTAGCTTTTGAGTAACTCTAGGAAACTGCTATTGTCTCACTGTTTCTGTCCTCTAAAATACGTATGTTGAAATCTGATCACCAATGTAGTGGCTTTAGGAAGTCCTGAGGGCAGAGCCTCATGAACAGGATTAGTGCCCTTTCGAAAGGGAATCCAGACAACTGCCTTGACTCCTCTACTACATGAGGACAGAAAGCATCAGGTATGATGACAGCTAGAAAGCATCAGATATGAGTCAGAAAACAGGCCCTTGGTAGACATTCAATCTGCTTTGATCTTGGACTTCCCTTATTCCAGAATTGTGAGAAAAATGTTTGTTGTTTATAAGCCACCCAGTATTGTTACAACAGCCTGAGTTAACTAAGATTGAAACAAAGGTTTTGTGTATTATTGAAATAACTTCCTATTTTTTGTGTTGCCTTTATCATGTCCTGGATTATTCAAGATAACATCTTCTCCGATGTTAAAAGAACAAAGTTTTTATTTATTTTTTATTTTTTGCAGCACTGAGGATCCAACCCAGAGTCTCACATATGCTAAACAAGCACTTCCACTGAGCTACATTCTCCAGACCATTTTTATTCTTGAGTCCAACTTGCTGTCCTCGTATTTCAACCTCTCCAGTAGCTGGGATTACAGGCACATGCCACTGCATCCAACTGACAATTTTTGATATTTTGCCTTTCCAAAATCAAATTCTAAATGAAATATTGGTCTTGCTCTGACTTTGAGATTTCCCAGAGGGTTCCTTGAAGATCTCAAATTATTTATTTTTACTTTGGAAAAAAATTTATAACACACAATATATGTTAAACTAGACTTATTTGATATGTTGAATTGTGTGGAACATCTTGTCAAATAAGAAGAGGTGCTTGACTTCTTAGGTTACTTTTGTGTAGGAAAATGATACTAGTATAAGTATTTCAGGAATTATACAAAATTCCCAGGAATTTGTCAGTGTCCTTCCTGTCATGATAAGTCCTTATGCTCCTTTGCCTGACAATAGACAATGGCAAATGTTATCAGTTAATTCCAGTTGTTATTTAAATGGTGTATGCTACTGAAATGACAAAATTTCCTTTTCACCTGTGTCATGATAAACTCTCATCAAACCTTTATGGCTATTTTAACCCTTTTGTCATTCAGAGTATTATTTTACCCTGATGCTTTCCTCCTAGCCAGAATGCTTTCTCTTCAACAAAAAAGCACTGTCTGGAGCCCACGGAAAAAAACTAAGAAAGATACACTGGGGCACAGATTTCTGATAGTATTGCTTCAATAACTTTGAGATCATACCATGGCATAAAGATGACCAGAACTCTAGTGGAGGAGGTAATGGGTTCATAAAACTGCTAACTCAGATCAAGGAGAACAAGAATGAATGGCATGGGACTGAATGAACTGTTGAAGAATGATTTTAATTTTCATGGATTTTTTTGTTTGGAACATTGCTGGTTTTTTAATGTTCTATTTTCTGGCCAAAAGGAATTCTTTTCTCTTTTCTCCTAAGCTATCTAAAACTCACCAAAACTTGGTAGATTATACCTTTGAAAAACAAAAATGAAATATTTATCTTTTTCTCTCTACTAGATTCCTTCAGGATTCAGAAACTTATTGGATATTCTTATTTTCATAGATCATAGTTATTTGCATAAATTCAATAAAAAATGTGTTCTTTGAAACAGGACATAATTGGAAAAATTGGTTAAATTATCAAGGGTTTGTAAAATGTCATATTTGAGAAGGTGCCTAGAATCAGTTAATTCAGCTTTTAGTAATTAAGGTTGATAGAACTAGTACTTTGAAAACCCTGAAAATCCCAGCTCACAGAGTTCTCAGATATATAGATAAGTCAGGAAAGTTATTTCCTGGCAGGCCCGGAAACATCAGAATATTTTGGGGATCTCAAGCTAAAAGCAAATCACCCAAAACTATAGGTACTACAGGTGAAGTCTGATAACAAATTCTTGGCTTGGCTTCTAGCATTGGGACTTCTAAGTGCAATACGAGATTCCTTATAAAAGTTCTGTCAAAGAAAACTTGAAAAAAAAGCCCTGTATTCTTGCTGCACTTACATAAATGATCAGACCAAATTGAATGAGACTAGACATATTTTGTAAAGTAATTTTACTTTGATTTTCCTTAATTAAAACGATGATTGTAAACAGAAAGTTTGTTTCAATGGAAAATTATAACCCAGGTTATCAGATTCTAGTGCTATTCATTATCTTTGAGCTATTTCTTGCCATTTAGTAAACTAGATTCTGCAATTTTGTCAGTAGTTAAGGTTCCCAATTTTTTATCCCTAATGTGGCATCAACTGAAAACTAAACCCTACTGTCCAGATCCTTATTAAGTCTCTAGGTAGTCTCATCCCAAAGCCCTACAAGCTGAAGCTGGATGATTGGTTGTAAACTTCAAAGGTCATACTACAATGGTTTCAGGTGCTCAAGAAGTTCACCAACACACACACAATCTTTCATTCTTTGTTCTAGGAAATAACTGTAACTGTAACACTAATGATCTCATTTCATCTAAAGATGCTTCTAGCCCAAAATCTAGGAATCTTCTCAACTGGCTGACCTCTGGACTAAAAAACTAGGTTCATAGGGCCCGGGGATTTAGCTGTGGTTCTACCACCTGCCTCGCAAGCACAAGGTCCCGAATTTGATCCCCGATACCAAAAAAAACCCCAAAACAAACTAGGTTCATAATCTACCCTAGCCATTAATCCTTGGGTTTCTCTTTTGTTTCCTTGCGTTAATCCATGCATTTTCCCCCCTTCGCAGATCTCTTACCTCAGAATCTCTAACCTGATGCTTCTCTCCACAGCAATCTACCTAGCTTCTTATTTCTGTATGAAATTTTAAGAGAAGTTCTAGAAAAAGAAATGTGGGGATTTACTGAAACCCCACAGAGCTGGTTTAATGATTATTTTAAAGTGAAAACATTTGAGCTAAAGAAGCACCAGAAGGAACTCTTATATTCCAAAATCTGACTAGAGCATCTAGAAAATACTTCTCTATTAACATTCCTCCAAAGGGAGCTTCATGTGAATTCAGCTGCCAGGCAGACGAGCCAGTTCCTACTGATTCCATTAGCATCAAAAAGCCCAAAGAACCTTCTATAAGTTCTTGGTGGCTCTTAGAGGGGAAGAAAAAACACTTTGTTCCATTTAACATATAAATCTTTTACCTCTCGCTTTTCAGGGATTCATTTATCATGAACTACTCTCACATGAACTCATAAATAAACCTTCTCTCCTATATTAATCTATTATCAGTTAACTTACTCAAATACTGGACACAATTTGGAAGAGGAAAACTTTTCCTACCAACATAATAATTTTTTTCTCATTTTCCAGAATTAGATCACATCAATCCTTCATTACTTTAGGAGAAATAATAATAGGAAACATATCAACACAAAGTTTTCAAGGAAATGGGAAATTTCCATTATGTAAAAATTCAATTTTCTAAATGAGTCAGTAGGTGGCACCAAAGAAAAAAGAAGTATATCTTGATAAATGCACTGATCTTGAGTCCTGGAAATCAAGTAAAAGCTATTCTTTCAGATGGTCTGTGTTCTGTTTTATCCTTAAATGTCCTATTTTAGCACTGTTTTAAACTGAAAATTGCCTCAAGGTCTTTTTGAAAGAAAGCAAAGCATCACAAATAAAAATAAATCTTAGAAAACACTTTGAAAAAAAGTTCATGTATTGCTGCCAAAAACTAACTCTGGGCATCCACCTTTTGTAGTTAGACACAAATTATATTGTAGGGAAGAAATATGAAGTCTTCCAGTTGTATATCTGCAGACTAGGATCCACTGAGCAGAAGCAAGAGGATAAAGGAATGGGAGCATTTGGCAGTTTCTGAACCTTTTTTGTCATTTCAGGTGGCAAGACAGGGACTTCTACCATCACTTCTAAAAATATATGTGAAACCTCGAAAGGTTTCCCTTGTTGAGTGGTAGCCTTTCCACAGGCTATAAACCAAGAAAGGACTGATCCCTAGCAACCCCATAGAAAAGTTTGTTGTTGTTTCTCTACTAATAAAAGACATTCACAATGTCAAGAAAGATATTCCCTTAATTTTTTAAAAGATATTTCACAAGTCCATCTGACCATTCTTCTTTACACCAAACCAATATCAAAGGTGCACATCACTGAAAATGTGGTTATAAAACTTAACTCCTTTGGCTATTGACCAAAACAAGGAAGAAGGGAGGGGCTGAGGGAGAAGTAGAGGGAGGGAGAGAAGGAGGGAGGGAGGGAGGGAGAACTCTCTTACACACACACACACACACACACACAGACAATACTGTTATGGTCAAGTAGTGCTTCTCCCTGAGTCCTCCTCCCTAACAAGGTCCAGGTTGTTGGTCACCACTTACCCTGGCAAATTCCATGGGTTTAGGAAGAAGGCACATGACCATAACATCAAAGCGAACATCGCATACTGTCTTTAACCACTTGGTGACAAACTGAGGCTTCAGTTTTTCCACCAAGCTTCCAACTTCATCATCCATCATATATGCTGTGGAGTGAAACCACTGGAACACCATAGCCACCAGCCTGGCCAAGCTTTCTGTAGGAGTGTTCTCACTGGGTGTGCAGAGGCTCACCTGGAATGGGCAGAGCAGAGCCTGTTCAACTTCCATCCATCTTTACAAATCTATTACATGTTCATTTAAAGACCACAAAAAGAGACTGTTCCAGATAATCCATTTGAAATAGGGAGTTTAATAAGTGACAATCACTTATCCAGACCTGAGTTCCTCTGTACTGGGCTAGGTGGGTTGCAATAGTAATATCCCCTCAAGAGTTTACCTTCCAATAAGCATTTTCTCCTACAAGCAATCTATTATATAACCTTCACTATAAAAATGCTCACAAAAAGTTAAGTCAATGAAGTGATATCTTCATCAATACCTTTAACACAAAATAACCTATTTACATTTCAGCTCTAAAATGATCAGATTTAGATAAGAATTTTGTAGCAGTAATAATTCTGCTACCTTGGAGCTCCCAATCAACTACATTAGAAATGGATTTTTAAAAATAACACCATTCACTTATTCATTCTGAAATATCTTTTCTTGAGCACTGTGGCAGGGTACAAGAATAAAACAAATAATAAAGCACTATCCCTGCCCTCAAAGAGTTCCCAACAGTAGTAGCTACAGTGTCACTAGAAAATTAGTTTCTGGAAACAAGATGTGAGATTAACAGCTAAATCCCAATTTGGTAGACTTTTTCAGGAAACTATGCACAAGCATAAAAAAGATATATCGGGCCAGAGATTTAGCTCAGTGGTTCCACGGCATGTCTCGAAAGTACAAGGTTCCAAGTTTGATTCCCAATACCAAAAAAAAAAGATGTATCACTATGGAGACACAATCAATGTCTCCAACAGGGAATGTTGGGGGCTGCTTCTCTGTAGAACTGATGCATTCAGCTGGCTTGAGTCTTTGTATCTCTATAGTTCATCTCCACTGAATGAGCACTGCAGTTGAATTAGTCAATGGCAACCACATTTCTTGTGTTAGTCTGGCTATAATTTCTCTGGTCACATAAACCAGACATAAATACATAAAAAGCTTTGCAAAGACTGAACTTTAGGAAAATTTTCATGGCCCAGCGTGGTGGCACATGCCTGTAATACCAGCACTCAGGAGGCTGAGGCAGGAGGATGGCTGCAAGTTCAAGGCCAGCCTGGGCCACATAGTGAGCTCAGGTACAGCCTGAACTACAAAGGGAGACCTTGCCTCAAAAAATCAAAAAACAAAACATTTTTTCATGTACATAAATGATGGCACGTAAATTATCTGTAAATCATATTAAGTCTAGTCCTTGCCGATCTACACTAGCAACCTTCCCATTTGTTTCTTGTCCAGAAGGTACATTTCAATGCCTATAGATTTCAATGTCTGGTTGTTTACTAAAGCCAAATGAGGAGCTTGTTTAAAAAATTCCTAAGCCAGGTGTGGTGGTGCATGCCTGTAATCCCAGTACTTGGGAGGATGAAGTAAGAGGATCACTGCAAGTTCAAGGCCAGCCTGGGCTATATACTGAGTCCATAGCCAGTGTGAACTACATAGCAAGACCCTGCCTCAAAAAAACAAAACAAACAAACAAACAAAATATCCTAGGTTTCTGAGGTGGGATCAGAACATTGTTACTTTTTAAAAGCTTCCTTAGGTAAATCTAATGTGTAGCCAGAATTGAGAACTACCACCCTAGATTATACACAAGCATTGCTAAAGTTAATTTTTCACTGTGCCTCTCAAAAGAACAACAGAAAGTCTTCATTGGGGCAAAGTTGAAATGAGAAATAAGAAAGCAGAGAATAGTTAACTTCTTATTCTTACTAAAAACCATATTCCAAATTGACTGAGCAGCCGCTGGTCATGTTTATCATCATCTTTGTTATCAAAATCAGTGTTGTCCAGGGAATGGTGGGAAGAGGAGAGACCCAGCTGTCGCCGGCGATTAAGCTCATGTTCCCGTTGCTCAGCGTGGAACTCAGCTTCTTTCAACAAGCTGCCAAAGAGGGGTGATTTTAAGTTAGACTATGGGAAGACACATTCTAGATAATAACATAGTCAGAGCAATTACTTTATGAGTATTCACCCATCACTGATTGTTCTCCTTTAAAGTAGTATGAACTACTCCTGGAAGTATAATTCCATTTTCTTAACTATTTTATATTCCTTTCCATTTCAAAGATGAACAAACTGAGGCACAAAGAGCTACCTCCTTCAGTTATAAACAAGCAGAACTGATGTCTCTGATTCTAGTTCACCAGTCATCCTATTATAAGTCAATGCTTCCTCTATGTACCATGAAGCTATCTGGACGCAAATGCATGAGACAAGGAGAGAGTGAGCATTTGCATCCTAATGGAAAAATATTCAATATCTGGCATTCAAAGACCTGAAAGTGAAATAATGTTAAACAAGTAATTTTTAAAAATCTTGGCAAGCATTCAGCAAAAACTAATTTCATGGGCACTACTGGCATTATAAATTTGTGCACATGCTTTGGAAAGCAATTTGGTAACATACCAAGAACCACTAAAATACTCAGATCTTTTGACCAGTCAATTCACACCTGGTAACCTACCATCACAAATTTTTTTAAAAGGAAGAGCAGTATGCACCAAAAATACCAGAGTTATTTATAAAAGTTAAAAATGGAAGAAATCTGGGCCAGGGATTTAGCTCAGTGGTTCCACTGCCTGCCTCACAAGTGCAAGGTCCCAAGTTTGATCCCTTGTACAAAAAAAAGGAAGAAATCTAAATATCTAATGTTGGCAGAAAATAAGTTATATCTAGATGAATATCTATTATATCCATTAAAAAGTGATAAATACGGAACTTCACAATGACATGAAAAAGAGCTACTTGTATAACATTATATCAAAAAGAATCATAGATTCACTATGATTGCACATATATAAATAAAACACCCATTTGAATAAAACCAGAGAATGTACAAAACATCATGATGATGGTAGCGATGAGGAGGAGGATAGTTGTGGCTGGTTTTGCCTTCCTTTATCCTGACATTTTTGGGCTTTCTACTATGTTTCAGCTACTAGGACAAAAGAAATAGAAAAGACTCAATTCCATTCCTTTAAAACTTATGTTCTAATACTAATTTTTAAAAATCTGGCCTCCTTAAATATTACACAAAAAGAGAACAAGTCTAGAGGTTATCGTTTCAAATCCTACTTTCTCTGTCATGTAGTAAGAGGAGAAAAATCCAGCAGGCTGCAGGATTGGTCCTGTCTTCCTCAAGACTTACCTGAGCACTGCACCACTCAGAGTTCTCCAGCACCTCGCTGCTCACTGCCAGGTAATCTGCTCCACAGTCTTTCTCACCCTCCCGACTGGCTAACACTGCTGTCACTCAAGCCAAGCATCCCTATCTTCATCCCTCTGACTAGAGCTTCAGTACTTGGGTCCCCCAAGACGCCCTGCTCAGCTTAACACTTCACTCAATGACATGTTTATGCTACTAGAACTGAAGGTTCTATTTCTCTTTCTCAAGCGCTTAGCACAGTGCCCGGCACATAACTGGCACTGGATAAAAATATTTACTGAATTCATGAATTCATCGTCATGGCAACAGTAAGGGAACGTGAGCTCCTAGGCTTACTTCAGAAGCCAGACTGAATCTACACATGCCAGTATGCAAAGTTAGCTCAAAGTAAAGGCAGGGTCTTCAGGGACATCAGGGACAAGCGCCTGACAATGTGCGCGGTACCTAATCACGGCCTCCACGGCGCAAACCAGCTCCTCTGCGCCGCACTCCCGAGTGTTGATGGGGGGCGGGGAGGTCTGGTAGAGGTGGGTCTCCGCCGCAGCCCCCACTTCGCTACTGTGATGATTCGAGTGGCATCTTTTGCAATACCGAACTGGCCTGTTTCCATGACGACCACAGCACCCTGCGGAAAAGCAGGTGACGACTGCTCTTCTGACATGGGAACTGCAGTTCTAGAAGCAGAGAAAGTAATAGCAATTAAAATTGACCGCTGACGGAAACGTGGCTAAAAACTGGACCAAACAGAAACTTAAGAGGCCACCAGAAGTGACAGCGTATTTCAAAAGGGCCACGTGTTTCCAAAGCACATGCTATTGTCTACCCGGATAAATTCCAGTAGTAAAGATGAGTGAGGAATGTCTTTTAGAGAAACAGAAATGTTCTAGTAGAGCAGTAGGACTGTGTTGGAAAACCAGGGGTGAGGGGGACACTTTCTGAATGTTTTGAATTTAATGTTTCAAGCGTTTTCATCAGAAATATATATA